ATGATAAACTAACTAGAAAGGAAGGATGATAGGCAGAAGTGTCCAGTGATGTCTTTGCCTTTTAACTTAAAATAACTATTAAGTCATATGCCAAGGAAGAAGATAAAATGAACCTGAGTAAAGAATTTTGCTAGGGAATCAATAAAATTGGAATTTGGAGATAAATACAATAGTTTTAAAACCTGGTCCTCTACCACAGGATAAACACTGCCTGCAAATCTTCATGGTCTACCTCAGATCTCATGAACAGACAATCGCATAAGGTTTACCAGCAGTTTAAGCTTACCATTTGCATAAAGTTTGCCAGGAAACTCACCCACTAATTCTGAATCCTGATTTGTTCTATTATTTGAGACTCTCTTGCACAAAATTTTAGTTGTTTTCTAGCTGTATTTTTTTTTTCCTTACAACTAATTTACATGTAAGCCAGAATGGAACGTCGGCTTCTCTATCCGTTTCTCTTCATTTACAACCACAGCACAGGAGTCTGTCATTAAGAAGCTGGCTTTTGGTGAGTGTATTTCCTCCCAGATCTATAGTGGACACTTTCTAGAAGGCTTGAGTGCACTACAGAGCTGAGCTCTCACTTCTAGTTGGAGATGGAGCTGTCCAATTGGACCTCTGCTCAGGAGTTCATCTTCTCTGCCTTCCCTTGTTCCTGGGGAGATTCCGTGGTCTGCTTCGTCCCACTGCTCTTCATCTATGTGTTCATTATTGTTGGAAACCTGGTGATCATCACAGTGGTCCGGCTGAATGCTCATCTCCACACCCCCATGTACTTCTTTATCAGCGCCCTTTCTTTCCTAGAGATCTGGTACACCACAGCCACTATTCCAAAGATGCTCTCTAGCCTCCTTAGCCAACGCCGGAGCATTTCCCTGAACGGTTGTGTCCTACAGATGTTCTTCTTCCACTCTACAGGCATCAGTGAGGTTTGTCTCTTGACAGCTATGGCCTTTGATCGCTACCTGGCCATCTGCAGCCCCCTTCATTATCCGACCATCATGACCCCTAGGCTGTGTTTCCAACTGACCTTAGGGTGCTGTATCTGTGGCTTTCTCACGCCCCTCCCCGAGATTGTCTGGATCTCCACACTGCCGTTTTGTGGCTCTAATCTCCTCGAGCATATCTTCTGTGACTTCCTCCCAGTGCTGCGCCTGGCCTGCACAGACACGCACACCATCGTCATGATTCAGGTGGTGGATATTGTCCACGCGGCAGAGATTATTACAGCCGTGATGCTCATTTTCATGTCCTATGTGGGTATAGTGGCTGTGATTCTACGGATCCGTTCAGCAGAAGGCCGCCGCAAAGCGTTCTCCACGTGCGTCTCCCACCTGACCGTCTTCTTGCTCTTCTTCGGCAGCGTGGCTCTCATGTACCTTCGCTTCTCTGCCACTTACTCCCTGTTTTGGGATACTGCCATCGCCCTGGCCTTTGCAGTGCTGTCCCCCTTCTTCAATCCTATCATCTATAGCCTGAGGAATAAAGAAATAAAAGAAGCTATAAAAAAGCACATGGGTCAAGCTAGAGTCCTTATTCATAAGATTTAGGGACCTCACATAAGATCTATTCGGGAATACATATTGTTGGTTCACTTTTTAAATGTATTATGTTCATTTTATGTGAATGAGTGTATGTGAGCGCACCCGTGTCCTGCAATAAAGGGCTTCAGATTCCCCTGGAACTGGAGTTAAGGATAGCTTGTAGCTGCCATTTGGGTGCTGGGAATCAAACCCCTGTCCTCTGCAAGAGCAGTCACTGCTCTGAACATGGAGCCATCTCTCCAGCCACTGTTGGTTCACTTTTATCCTCAACTTGCCAAAACCTATCTTCTATCAGCCTTTTATTGAAAATTATTTTCTAAATGTCCCTGGTACACAAAATTCATAAATAACTAGATTTGATTAATTTATGTTTTTACTTTTTTTTGTGTTAGGTGTATGTGTCCATGTTTGTGGGAGTGTATGTGCACACATATGTATGTGTATGGAAGCCAGAAGCGATGTTGAATTCTTTCTTCAGTTATTTCTATGCCTTATTTTTCCAAGACAGGATCTTTCTCACTGAAAGAGGATCTCACCAGCCTGGCCAGACTGGCTGGCCCAGGTATCCTCTGTCTCCACCTCAACACTGCTGGGCCCTGGTTTTTTGTTTGTTTGTTTGTTTGTTTTCCTTCTTTTTTATGACAAGCATTTTACCAACTGAGCCATCTCCCTAGCCCCTAAATTTGATAGCTTCTTTTTTTTTTAAACTTTAAAAACACTTTATTTCATGATTTACTCAAAAAGATAGTCTCAAAAGTATAAAGGCCACACACAATGGCATGTATCTTAGACTATAATGCTAGTGTTAGAATAGGCTCTCTTATGAAAATTAAGTATTTTATTACTATTAAAAAGCTATACAAAAAAAGAATCATTTCCTCTTTAGATTTCAACCTATAGATATTTAGTGTTGTTTAAAAGGAAAAGAAAAGAAAAGACAGTTTATTGGACTGAAGCCTGCATATGGTGAGAATGGACCTGATAACTTGGCCGTCTCTGAAAAGAAATAGAATCTGACTAGGAGAATAACGATGTAGAATGGAAAAGCAGAGTGGATAAGGCAGAAGAGGCAAGTCCAATGGTTCATTGTGTAATATAAACAGGAAGAGAAAAGTAGCTCCTCTTTAAAAGTTCTTGTGAACTTATATGTATCGCGGTAAATTACATTTGCAAGGACTTCTGGGAAGACACTGAAGTGTAAATGCCAGGAATGCAACCCAGCTCCTGTTATAGTTAGCATTATTTTCCTAAAAATCAATAGAATCCAGAATGCATTCTCTCCCCATTAATAGACTGCCTGTGATTTCTCTCAATTTATGTAGATACACTTATCTAAATTGTAGGATGTTTGATGTCGAATGCATACAATGATTTTTTTGGCCATTAAAAAAAAATAAAAAACTTTTTTTGGCATTTGTTAGTGGATATTTGAAATGGATAAACTATCATTTAATAATCATATTTTATCTTTGAATACAATATAAGAGAATTGATTTTGGACTTCTTCCACCAGAAAGAGAAGCAGAGTGAGAGACAGAAAGAATGAATCAGGAAATCCTATATTGAAAAATTTCTTACAGTAAATGGTATTTGTTTTAGTACATTTCCTAATGCTATAATTGCATACCTGAGACTGGCAAATGCATAAAGAATATTTATTTGGCTCAACGTTATGGGGAGGTGAAAGTCCAAGAATATGGTCCTGCACATGTGGTAAGGGCCCTTCTGCAGCATTATATCATGACAGAGAATCACGGTGAAGCAAAGGAAATCTGTCAATCAGCACTCTTTTATTTTTTTAACAAAAGCATTTCTACAGTGACCCATAAACATACTAATCAATTGACCTTATTCATGAGTGGATTAATTACCTCAAATCACTATTGACATGTGGATTTAGAGGTGAAATTTCTAAAACACGAATGGGGTCTTCACTGTTTATGTTTCATTTCCATCACTACAATTAGAAAGGAACATGGCCAGAGAGGAAAAGTGAAAATGGTCAGTAAATTCATTCCGAGTCCATTCTCTGCACTGTACCTCTTCTTTATGTTCATTCAATATTTAGTAGAATCTGTGGAAAATACCACATATGAATATGAATTACTATTTACCATAGAAATTAAGGTTGCACTACTCCTACAACCTACTGACAAATTATACATAGCAGATCAAGAAATATATGTCTAGGTAAGGTTTATCTGAGAACAATTGATCTTTGCCCAAGATTAATCTGTGTGGCACACAGTAATTAAAAGTACCAGACTGGTGGAACTAACCTTCTTGG